TTCCTTAGAGCTCCTTCTCTCCTACCAATGTTGTACCTCTAGAAGAATCTATCCTTGGACCTTTTAGGGAACTTCAAATTACCTCTACCTCTACTCCACGGCAGCCAGGAGAATTGGGGGGAATTGATCCCATTCCCACCTCCAAGGGTAAGTGATGACTGATCTAAGGCCAGGAGTATAAACCCATCTCTCCTACCCGGTGATGGTTCAGGGGAAAGCAGACCAGAGCCACCAACATGCGACATTTACACATGACCGATGGGGACTCTGTGAGAACAAAGCTCAAGACTTAAGTTTCATAGTTGAGGGAATCCAGTTCTTTCTCTCCTCTTGGGTATATATGATAAAGCATATCAGTCTAATTGCTAATTGCCATTGGCCACTGTCTTACAACCCTGAAGCAATCCAGTATGAAGATGAAGTCAAAACACAGAGTAGAGCAGAGCTGAGAGAACCGAAGCATCACGGATCCAGATCCCTGATTGTGTAGGCTGGTGAGAAGCTGGGATTTTTCAGTCACATGGGTCAGTAAACTCCTTGTATTATTTAAACCATAACGCCTGGGGCTTTCGGTTACGTGCAGTTGAAACTTGTAACCATTATAGCCCTTCACTGTCCTCCCTTTATACTTTTTACCTCGTTGCTCTCACCCGTTCTGGCAGCTTCCATGGTCACATCTATGTGGATGATTCCTCTACACCCCTCGCTAAACTCTGTCTCCCCATCGCCAGCGCCAGCATTGCCAGCTTTTTGCTGAGTAGATGTATGCAGTTGCCCTAGTTTGAAACTTTAGAGTCGTCCACCTCCTCCTCTCCTTTACATCCCACAATCAGTGGTTATGGTCTCACATTTTCACCTCTGGCTGCATCCTCACCTTCATTACCTCTCTCTCAAGTTGACTGTCTTCCCAGTTGGTCTTCCTGCCTCCTGGCTATCCCAGCTGCTGACCACCACCAACACCTTTATCAGAAACACCAAAGCAGGGCGCCTGGGTGGCTCAGTTGGTGAAGCGACTGCCTTCGGCTCAGGTCATGATCCCGGAGTCCCGGGATGGAGTCCCACTTCGGGCTCCCTGCTCAGCGGGGAGTCTGCTTCTCCCTCTGACCCTCTTCCCTCTCGTGCTCTCTCTCTCTCAAATAAATAAATAAAATCTTTAAAAAAAAAAAAAAGAAACACCAAAGCAAGAAAGGATTTTCAAGGATTTTTCAATGTTTCAGATTTAGACCAAACTTTGCATCCTAGTACCGTAAGTCTTCTACCGCAGGGTCTCTCCTGCTCTTTCTGATCTTATAATCCCATTACTTTCTCATTGGTGCCCCAGAGACTGCCAGAGTGGGCTACGTACTATTTCTTTCACATCTTGCTGCCAGTGAGATGGATCCCACCTGGACCACCTTCCCTTCATATTTCACCCATTGAAATACTGCTTATCCTTTAAGACTCACCTCAATAAGGTATACTGTGATTTCCCCGAATAGATACCTATTTCTTTGTTGAACCCCTACAATGTGTTACTCTTGTGGCACTCATCAGAATAGAAAAGTAGATTTTTATTTTTGTATCTCTTAAGCACAGAGCACAGGGTCTTGAAAATAGTAAGTGCTTAAATAAATACTCACGACATTAGCCTGAATCAAGGGCAACCTTATGGAGAGGAGATGCTATAAGAAGGTGCCTGACGAGGAGTCTTATTCTTTTACCTGCAGATCCATTAGAGCCTCTTTTTTTTTCTTTTTCTTTCTTGTATTCCAGCTAGGGATTTATCAAGTCAACAAATATTTATTTAGCGCTAACTATGACACTTGAATCTGGAAGTAGCTAGCTCTGAACTCTTGCATCCTGGGATGATTCGGAGCCATGGTTCTCCAAGCATGGTCCATATGGATGTTCCTGGAAGCTGAGCGTTGATCTCTGAGTTGTATAGCTATTAAGGCCAGTGGGGGAAAAAAAAACCACAATGGACTACAGAGGGAAAAAATGAAACAAGATGAAACCAGAGAGGGAAACCATAAAAGACTCTTAATCTCAGGAAACAAACAGAGTTGCTGGAGTGGTAGGGGGTGGGAGGGATGGGGTGGCTGGGTGATGGACATTAGGGGGGGTATGTATTGTGGTGAGCGCTGTGAATTGTGTAAGACTGTTGAATCACAGACCTGTACCTCTGAAACAAATAATACATTATATGTCAATAATAATTTTAAAAAATTTAAAAAACAAAAACAAAAACAAACCCCACAATGGGTTTTTTGAGTCCATAGACCTGAGTTCTGGGCCTGGAATTTCACTAACCAGCTCTGTGGCCTCAAACAAGTCTTTTCACCCCCCTGGGACTCTCTTGCTCCTTTACCTGTGAAACAAAACAGTTAGGTTGCGATGTTTCTCAAAGTGTGGGCCTCAGAACACTTGCATCAGTCACGCAAGCGACTTTTAAAAATGGAAATCCCCTGGACTCAAACCCAGTATTACTGAAAATGAATCTTTGGAGAGAGGGTCTAGGGGGTCTGCATTTGAGCAAGCTCCCCAGGTGACTCTTATTCCCATTCAAGTTAAACACCTCTAGAATTTTGGAATTACAAAGTTCCTTCTATTCTGAGATGTAGTGTTACTGGATTAAGTAACCAATTCAGTGGTTTTGCAGTGGTAAATAGAATGGACGTGTGAGTCATCCAGAGAGCTGCTTGCCCTAACCAAGTGTCTGTGGAGCCCAAGGTTGGAGCAGCCCTGTTCCACAGCCTGCTTCCAGGGCCCCAGCCCCAGGGCCTCCCTGCGGCTGCTGGCTGCCCAAGGGCCTGCTTGTTTGCTTCCTTTCTTATCCCTCCCTGTCTCTCTCTCCTTTTCCTTTCTTCTCTTCTCTTCCCCCCTTCCCTCACTTCCTCCTATCTCTCTCTCTCCCTTCCTTCTTTTCGTTTTCATTTCTATTTCCCATTCTTTCCAAAATCCCATCGGCACCTGGGTAAACACATCATTAGCAGGACATTCATTGGCACTTACCTAATACACTGTTTTTGTTTTTTTTTTTTTTTTGATGAAGTGTTTCCGGCTCCCTCAATCAGATGTAAACATTTCCTGCTCAGAACTCTCAAAGCACTTTGAACCTCTCTTACGCTATTAATCATACTTGGCCGTGTAATATTTCTAGGTCTACTCTATCGTATGCCCCTGAGGAAAAGGCTGCTTTATTCATTGTTATTCCCCCCCTTCTACAGTGCCTAGCATGGGGTCTTGTACACGTTGGTAATATTTTGCATGGGTGTATCCTGGTTTAACAAGTATTTTCACAGACACTAGTGAATAGCAGACACTGGATAAGAATTTGCTGAATGGATCAATGAGCAAATTCCTCTATTTTCCTTGTCTGGGCTTTGAGCTTATCTCTTCTCCTGTTTTAGAGGCAGGCTTGGACCCTGGCAAGGCCGTTGAGCTTGGACTCTGAGGCCTGAGTTTGAAAGCTTTTTCTACCTCTTAATAGCTGGGTAGTTTGGGCGAGTTGTTTAACCTCTCTGAACTGTGATTTTTATCTGTAAAGTACACACACGCAATACCTTATTTCTAGGGTTGGAGATGATGAACTACAATTACTTGTGAACACATCTGGCACATAGCAGATAATTTTAAAATACTAGTTAAATGAAACTCTTCCCTTCCCCCAACGCTTCACTTCTATTAGACTGTCCCTTAGGACAAACACTGGCTTTTCCAAATCTTTCCCTCCAGATTTGTATGCTGTGTCTTGGTGCACTGCATACAAAGACGTGCAGAATACATTTTGTGGGCTCTTAAAAATAGTGTGATAAGGTGAGATACATATGGGAAACACACAAGCTGAAATGAACAGACTGTATTTGTCAGGATTCTTCACTGCAAGGTCTATAAGCCCAAGTCAAACAAGCTTAAGGGAAAAAAAGAAAATAAGAATTTATTGACTCCCATAAATGAAATGTTCTAGAGTGGGTCTGGCTTTAAGCACTGCTGCATCCAGGGGTTATAATCCTGAAGTGAGATTGCTGTCTCTTTTTCTCCAGCTCTGGACCCTGCTTCTGCGGCTTCGTTCTGAGGCAGGATCTCTCTAGTTGGTGGGAAGGGTGGCTACTTGCTTGTGAGCCAAAATGACTCACAACCTATCTTTGTGTCTGCATGCAGATCTCATGGAAGGATTCTCATTGACCCTGCTTGGGTCCTGTCCCTGTATATAAACCAGTCGGTGGGTCCAAAGATTGTAGTACTACGGTTGGCTCAGCCTGGGTCCCATGCCCACCCCTGTGGCCCATGAGGCCCACCCAAGGACGCAGTGGTTGACCAACCACAGGAATGAGGGAGAGGTAGTTCCTCTAAAAGAAGGGATATCGACAGACGAAACTTATTTAGTGAACACATAGAAAATACATCCTTTTCCATAAGATGCTTTATGCTTAAAACTGCTTGCTTTATGTTATTTAAGGGGCCCAGCTTTAGTCACTGTTATTGGGGAAAATAAAACCATTTTGAGTGTCGCTAAGGCTCAGGCCCAGGACCAAGATCTGGGATAAAGCAGTGTTTAAAAAAAAAAAAAAAAAAAAAAAACGGGGCCTCCTGGGTGGCTCAGTCAGTTGAGCATCTGACTCTTAGTTTCCACTCGGGTCAGGATGTGATCTCAGGGTCAGTGGGATGGAGCCCTGTGCTGGACTCTGCATTTGGCATGGGGTCTGCTTGTCCCTCTCCCTCTGCTCTTCTCCCACTCGTGCGCTCTCTCTCTAAAATAAATAAATAAAATCTTTAAAAAAATAAAGAATAAAAAACAAATGAAGATCAGCTTTGAAAATTCCCTGAGCAGGCAAAACCAGTTGAGTCATACAAACAAAGCTCAGTTTAGCTTATTTTGCAAGACTAACTTGACCTGGGTCCTCTCTTGCTTAGGCCTCTGAAAATTATAAGCAAAACTGAAGCTGTTTCCCAAGGTTGAAGGGAGGTAACCACTGACCACTTCCCTAGCATGTAAGAAAATCTTGACATTATAACCAATCCCTGTGAAGAATAAACAGTCACTGCTTCCTCACTATATGTGCTGTTTTATAATGATATTCCCCTGGGCCCCACTCCCCCATGTTTTGGCTTGATGGCTCCCAGTTTGCAAACTGCCTGTTTGGTGCGTGCATGATTGACTTCTACTAATGACTACTTTGGTGATTCATTGGTATTGCTTCTGTTATTTCTGAACTTTGACATTTTGTGGTGTGAGAAGTGGAATTCAAAGAAGACCCCGATGACTGAGGCCCGTGAGCGAACAGGTGCTTGTACCCACAGAGCCCATTGAGCTCCCTGCTGTCTTGTTGCCCATGGGATTTGAGGGTAGGTCTCTCTTCAATCCAAACTCCACTCTCTTTGTGTTTGGAGCTCTCTGACTATATTGTGCATTTTGTTTTTTGAAGCTCCTTGGTAAGTCACCCTCTTCTGTTTAAAAGTGTGGGGGGAGGGGCATGTGATTTTCTGTGTTTTGGAACTGCTGTTGAAAAACAGGGCCCTTCATAGTTAAGACATCTTAGGAAATCTAAAGGCAGAGATGGGTTCCACCTGGTCTGTGGGCCAAATTCTAGTGCCTTTTTGGAAAATGGGTGAACTGTTGGAATTGTAGTGGCCACTTTGGGGAAACTTTAACTTAGTAAGGGGCATCCTTAAAAGAGAGATTTCCAACCTCAGAGACGATGAAATGCATTCTCTGATCGGTTTGCAGAAGCTTCTAAAAGACAAAATGACTCAAAAACAGCTCTAGAAGGATCTTGACAGCATGCAAATAAAAAAAAGTTTTAGTGAAAACTCTTTGGTCATCGGAAGGAGTAAACTTAACTTAGTCTATCTTCCAGAAACACAATTTGGATACAACTATTCTTTTAAGTTTTTTATCTGAGACATGGTTAAAAATTTTAAAACAACAGCTCTAAGATCTGTCTGTATGTTTATGTATGTTCATGTATGTATAATATAGGTATGTGATATTTTTCTACCTCTGGATAGTATTGCCAAAATTAATCTGTAAAGAGCTCTATTCAGTTATCTTTAAAAAAATTAAGTACTGGGGTGCCTGGGTGGCTCAGTCATTAAGCGTCTGCCTTCAGCTCAGGTCATGATCCCAGGATCCTCGGATCGAGCCCCGCATCTGGCTCCCTGCTTGGCGGGAAGCCTGCTTCTCCCTCTCCCACTCCTCCTGCTTGTGTTCCTGCTCTCGCTGTCTCTGTCTCTGTCAAATGAATAAACAAACAAACAAAAAATCTTAAAAAAATAAATAAATTAAGTATTTATGTATCAAATATATTCTCAGAAATATAGAAATTAACCTAAATGTTTTTTAAGTTCACATGATCTAGGATAAAGTTTGATAAATAAAAGCTAGTTTAAGTTTGTTGGCTTAATGAAAGCAGACATGTCTTCAAAATTTGTCAACAAGAAAAATAAGATGATGGTTAGCTGCTTAATATCTCATTAAAGAATAATTGTTAAAAGCAAGTAATTTAAACACATGTAAATAAAATGGAAGTTTATAGTAAGTTAAACTAAATAGTGAATATTCATTAAATATCTAAATTGTTTCCAAATATGATAAACACTAAAAGCTAAACATAAGTTTAAGTTTAGCTACTTTTAGCTTTCTAATTTTTTTACATAGACAAAAATATTGGGGCCTATTAATAAACATGTTTTATGCCACATTGAAAAATTTACTGAGGAAAATTATACTTGCAGAAATTCTGAAATGTATTTATAAACTGGCCAGTCCACAATTGCTTACTTTTTAGTTTTCACTAGGAACTAAGGATTCTCATAATTAAGAGTTCTAATTAATATATGTAATTAAAACCACTAGAAATAATAAGAGTGAAAGACAATAACTATATACAAAAAGTAGGTAAGGAAAATAGAATATGTTTTGTTTGTTTTGTTTTGTTTTGGATAAGGAAAGATATGAAGGATGTAGGTTTTTTTTTTTTTTTTTTTTTGGTAAAGGAAAAAAGAAAGTAATTTTGTCCTAAAGTAAAATGTTCATTCCAGAATAAGGGAAAAAGTTAGGGCAAAAGGTGAATGGATATAGAACAATTGTAGAAGGTTGATGGAAAAAGAACACTGATAAAGGAAATTTATGTGTAGTCAAGCTAAGATTGGAAGAGATTTATTTGAGTTAAAGAGAAAAAAAGGAGAATTTTAATATTAAAAGTACACAGGTGAAAAATCAGAATTTGAGGGGTGCCTGGGTGGCTCAGTTGGTTAAGCGTCTGCCTTCGGCTCGGGTCATGATCCCAGGATCCTGGGATCAGGCCCCATGTCGGGCTCCCTGCTCAGCGGGAAGCCTGCTTCTCCCTCTCCCACTCCCCCTGTTTATGTTCCTGCTCTCTCTCTCTCTCTCTGTCAAATAAATAAATAAAATCTTTAAAAAAAAAAGAAAAATCAGAATTTGATTTTCTCTTTGTTAAAATCACAACTTTGAGATTATTGGTCTGCTCGTAATAAAAAATTGTGAGCGAAGTTTCTTTACCTTTATTGTAATCTGCGTAGAAAACAAAAATTCTGTTTTGTCTTTATGAGGTTTTTGATTACTTGAGAAAAATTAGTCTTCTTATTGAAAGAACTGTTTTCTACAGCGATGTAAATTTTTGTATATGTTAAATTTCATGGGAAGCATTCTCAAATAAGAAGTGATGCTAAGCTTTCTTTAGGTATAGATTTGTATGAAAGTCTTTACAAATCTGACATGTCCTAGTATAATGTTTTCAATCATAATTCCAGCTATTACCTTAAAATATTGTGCATCACAAAAACATCCAAATTTAGTTGCCAATTGCATCGTGTGTATGTGTGTGTGAGAGAGAGAGAGAGAGAGAGAGAGAAAGAGAGCTCTCATCAGATCTCTAACTTTGGCCATTTTTAAGTCTTTTGTCATTTACAGACAGCTTTGTTCTGATGCTTTCGCAGAAGTGTTCCTACAAACATGCCTCATGTTCAAAAAGATCCATGGAAAAGACCCTGACAAGTATTCTAAAAGGCAGGTTTCTGATAACTTTAAGATCATACCCTAAACTGGGCAAGAATTTTTAAAACTTTTATGGCAAACTGACTGATTCATAAAGCTATTAATCCAAGATGAAGCAAAAGCAAGAATTAATTGCAGGACACTGATGAACTGATGAACATGATTATAATTTTTATGACTTCATTCAAAACATTACTAGTTCTTTAATGTATTGTTTTCCAGATTTAAAGGAACTTTTTCCCCCTCCTCTTTTTAAATTGTCTACACCTTATAGAAATTTGGTAAAGTCTACCTTTGCAACAAAGTTTGAAACGTTTATGTTTTTCTCCCTATCTGATCCCTCCAGAATTCTGAAACTCTTATTAAATATTCATATTTTTTTCATGACAACATGGGTATTTGCATAAGTTCAAAAAGAATCTATTCTCCTTGTTACAAGACACAATTGGACAAGTCCTTGGCTTGGCTTCTAAGCCTTGAGAAGCTTTTGAAAGTCCAATCTAAGATTCCTTATGAAAAGTTCTAGCAACGCAGATTTAAAAGAGCCTATATGTTCAATCACTATTCTTGCTGCACTTACGTCAATAATCAGGCCAAGTTTATTGAAACTAGACTTAATTTGCAAACAAAGTAGCCTTACTTTGGTTATCTTTGATAGAAATGGGGATGATTACAGAGAGAAAAATTATGTTTCAATAACGTGCCTTTGTGGATATCAGATTTGATTGCTGCTAATTGTCTTTGAGGTTTTGTTTTCTAGCTGAATACTGGACTGGATCCTGAATTCTTCCAGTTCCTCTAAGATTTGGCTAGAACTCTCCAAACTAACGTTTCCAATTATCTCCCACTCTTTGGACTTGGAATCACTATGAAACTAAAACTGCGCTTTTCCTGAAGCTGGACGATTTGATGTAAACTTCAGGGAATTCAGCGCAACAGCTCATGTGTGGACAATTTTCATGCCTGTGGCTATGTGGCTGCTCAGAAAGATCAGCAGAGACATTCACCTGCAAACCAGGAAAATTTGTCCCATTGCCACTGCCTGCCCTCACTCCATCTGAAGATGCTTAGAACCCAACATCTAGAAATCTCCTGTCCAAACTGCTATAAAAACTCGGAAACTGAATTTATGATTTTCTCAAACTATTAACCTTCATTTTTCTTATGTTCCCACAGAAATGCCTCTCGTTAAATCACCTGATTGCTCACATCACGTTGAAGCCTAACTGAGATGGAAGCTTGCCTGACCCTCCTGAAAGAAAAGGTCCTCAGGTCGTTCATCCTGTCCTGAGTAGTCATGAGGATATGTGTTTGCTAACACATCGTGTTTGCCTACATAAATAACTTTAAAAAAAATTATAACCTGTTTGAGTTATTTAATTGGTTTAATCTTGGCTCCTGGGGAATCTCTGCTCTGGGGGAATTTCTCAGTCCTTGGCTCATGTTCTCCTTATAGGCATCATGTTAACCTCTCTAGTGTGTTGCATACTCTTGAGGGTTTTAAATGCCCGGCGGCAGCCACTTGAGTGCCAAATGGTATCCATCAGTCTCAGAGAACTGGATGAAATCAACAATAACCACAAAGGATGAAGACAGTCGCCTGACAGCTCAACTCAGGGTAACACTGAATGTGTGACTCTTCCATCTGATTACATCAGAGGTGTTAACCGAGAATAGTACTCTACCGGTTGGTCATGCTCGCAGTCTGCTGAGAGAATGGCCCAAAGGGGAGAATTGTTAAAATACAAATTAAATGGAGACCAGCTTTGAAAATTCCCTGAGCAGACAAAACCAGTTGAGTCATACAAACAAAGCTCAGTTTAGCTTATTTTGCAAGACTAACTTGACCTGGGTCCTCTCTTGCTTAGGACTCTGAAAATTATAAGCAAAACTGAAGCTGTTTCCCAAGGTTGATGGGAGGTAACCACTGACCATTTCCCTAGCATGTAAGAAAATCTTGACATTATAACCAATAATAACCAATAATCAATCCCTGTGAAGAATAAACAGTCACTGCTTTCTCACTATATGTGCTGCTTTATAATGATATTCCCCTGGGCCTTATTCCCCCATGTTTTGGTTTGATGGCAGTTTGCAAACTGCCTTTTTGGTGTCAACTTCGATTTCTACTAATGACTACTTTGGTGATGCGTTGGTTTTAATTCTGTTTTTTTCTGAATTTTGACAGCAGTGATGAAAAACACTGGCTTTCTCTAACAGAGCTTCCAGTCCAGCGAGGCCCCCAAAACCTCTCTCGGCATGGGCCATCCCAGCTCCTAAATGCTCTCCGCTACATATGACCCTTGGCTTCCAAGAATGATTGCCAGAAGATTCCAGTTATGGTGCACAAACTGGGAGAGGTATCGCGTTATGCCGTTATCATATCAAAGACACTTTTGTTGGCTGAGCCAGTGTCTCCTGGCAGAGATCACAAAATCAGAGACAGTGAGATGAGAGGACGGACGGATAAGGCCAGCTCCCTTCAGAAGCTTGTGCTCAGTTCTGGGGGATCCCACAAGGGGAAGATTGGGGGAGTTTTGTGGGTTTTTTTTTTTCATTTCTTTTTGTATTTGTAATTTTAAAAATATTGAGGGGGGCGCCTGGGTGGCTCAGTCAGTTAAGCATCTGCCTTCCGCTCAGATCATGACCCAGGGGTCCTGGGATGGAGCCTGTCATTGGGCTCCCTACTCAGCGGGGAGCCTGCTTCTCCCTCTCTCTCTGCCCTGCTCGTGCTCTCTTTCGCTCTCTCTCTAACAAATAAATAAAATCTTAAAAAAATTTTTTTAAAAAGTTGAGGGGCGCCTGGGTGGCTCAGTTGGTTGGGCATCCAACTCTTGATCTCGGCTCAGGTTGTGATCTTGGGGTTGTGAGTTTGAGCCCCCGTGTTGGGCTCCACGTTGGGTGTGGAGCCTACTTAAGGAAAAAAATATTGAATTGTGGTAAAATACACAAAGCATAAAAGGTATCATGTTTGCCATTTTAAGTGTACAGTTCAATAGTATTAAGTACATTCACAGTGTTGTGTAACCAGTCTCCAGAACTTTTTTGTCTTGCAAAACTGAACCTCTGTACACATTAAACAACTTCCTATTGTCCCGTCCCCCCGCCCTGGCAACCACCATTCTACTTTCTGTTTCTATGAATCTGACTAGATGCTCATGTTAGGGAAATCCTCCAGTATTTGTCCTTTGGGGACTGGCTTATTTCACTTAGCCTATGTGAACATGCGGTTCACTCGTGTTGTAGCGTGTGTCAGATTTTCCTTCCTTTTTACGGCTTACAATATTCCATTGTATATGTCTATACCACATTTTGTGGACACTTGGGTTGCTTTCACTTGGGGGCTCCTGTTGCTTTCACTTGGGGGCTCCTGTAAATAATGCTGCTACGAACATGGTGGGGAAGATCAGCCTGAGTGTTCTGGAGCTTGGCAACATTGGCGGGAGGTGGGGCCCACTAGGAGCCCGAAACCGACAAGCCCTGTGTTTGAGGGGGAGGCGCGAGGGCTCAGAGCGCCCTCTTCTGGTGTAGGCTGAGGTAGAGGGAGGGGTGGTTTCCTGGGCCTGAGGAAGTGTGTCCAGGTTTGGGGGAGAGGATCCAGAAGGAAGGGAAATGCCAAACTTTCTCTTCCTCCCCATATATCCAGCCCTGGCCCTGATTTCACACTTTGTTGACCAATCTTTGGAACTCTTGTCAGGTGGTTCGAGATGACTTCCAAACTGTAACATTGCATTAATTACTTTAGGAGAGATCTGGACTCATTCTCCTGTTCTCCCACCATGCTCCTCTTCTGAGCCTCCGTCACACCCCCTCCCCCACCACCAGCAGCCGGCAACCCCCCCCTCCCCCCCCCCCCCCCAGCCAGCAGAGCGTGGCCTCCCTCCTCTGCCATCACCCAGCCCCAGTTTTACTTTTGTTTGCCAGAGTCACCTCCGTCGGCCTCGGCGACTTACCTGTTTCTCTGTCGTCTGTGTGAGACTAAGGTTTGGAGCCAGCTGTATGCCATGTGCCCGTGCTGTTCCTGGCACCGAAGAGGCAGGTGTTCAACGTGGCTTTGTTGGAAGGTGGAAAAGTAGTAGTTTTGAACAGTGATTCAACTGGGGGCTGTGTGGTGGTGCCCAGCATGAGTCGAGGGTTAGCTGGAAGCTGCACCAAATAGAAGGCGAGGGTCTAGGGGACTTTGAAATGGCTGCCGAAGACAAGGGAATTGCTTGTTGGAACCAGGCGACCCAGGAGCAGGCTTCACGGCATGGTGGATCAATACTGTTCTTTCTGAGGAAACAAACAGGATCAATACCAGCTGCCCTGGGTCTCTGAGCAGATCCGAAAGCCATGGGGCCCATGGATGGAGGCTTCATGCTGACTTCGCAGAATACAACAATGTGTACCTGTTTGTGAGACTGGAAGACACTGTATTGGATTTCATACGTGCAATGGTACCGGGGCCACCGGATATACGAGTATCTAGCAACGGAGGAACATACGATTGAAGCGTCAAAAGAGTCCTTTGATATTTGGGCTGCCATGCTTGCTGCCATTCCCTACTCCTCGCCCCACAGCAGACCCTGCCCACTGACATCCACGCTTGCTGAGCAGAGATGTAGCCCCAAAATGTTCTCCCCAGGGTTTGAGGCAGCCACTGCCAAAACTTCATGGCTGGGACTTAATGTGAAAGATTTTCACCTCCCCTGATTTAATTCAGCCTAACATCATTCAGGTAGGTCTCCCCTCTACAGCTTTCTGGAGGGCTGCTCTAGAGGCTTTGGGAGCCTCTTTGGTTGTTGAATAGCTCAAATTATTAAACCTCAAATTCACTTAAAACACACTGTGTTCTTACTGCAGGAAAGGCCTTGGTTAGGTGTTGAGAAGGGGCTTCTTTAAGCAGTTCCCGAATCGGCCCCCTTGTAATTCTTCCCACTGGCCCTAGACTTGCCTTATGGACCGCACACAGTATGGTTCTCCCCTGGAACCTGACAGCCCTTCATCCACCTGAAGATGCTTGTGCTTTCCATAGCTCCTCCCTCCCTCCTTAGTCTTGTTTTTGTTTTTGTGTTTTTCTAGAGGAACTCTTCTAAGTGCTTCTGGCTGATTCTTCTAGATTCTGGTTTTCAGACCTCTCATTCTCAAGTTAGCCTCCTGTGGTCATACCCCAGTTTGTCTACCTTCCTCTCAAATTGTGGTGCCCAGAATACACACAGAGTACAAACCAACACAGAGGGACATTTAGGTAAAAGTCTTGATAGATGAAAAGGAGTTCACCACGTTGACAAGGTGCATCAAGGTGTCTCCAGGCACAACTTGTTGGGGGTGAATCATGCAGACTCTTGTACGGACCAACTCCTGTTAATCTTCAAGATTTAACGATTATTCTTAGAATTATAAAAACTCAGAGTTCCGAAGATGCTTAAAAAGGCACAATCCCCCCCAATCTGATGATTTAAATCACCAGGCTATATCATGCCCTGCAAAAGACGGAGGTTTTGAGGATCTTCTCTAGAGAAAACTTTGTGATTTTTGAAGGCAGGCTGTTACATTTTTTGACTCCTCTGTTCAAGAGTTCCTCCTTTTCAGCTGAAACCTGCCTCCTTGTACTGTTAGTAATTTTTCAGAGTTATTGAGCGTTTCATTTGCTCAGCAATATTCTAGGCATTGTGTGCACATGGGTGTATGCATGCCCGTGAACAGAGTGCTCCAGAGGGGCAATCAGGGTAGAGGAATGAGGACAAGTAAACTCAGATTTTTGTCTCCAAGGAAATGCCACTCTTGTGGGGGCAGGGGAGGACACACACACTCACACCCCGAGCTTACTAGCCAAACATGGGCTGGATATTGTGGAAGCACAGAGGACAAGCTAGTTGCTTCCAATCAGAAAAGCAGAGATGACTTGTCCTTGTGTCTACACAGCAGCCAGAGTTCTCTCTTTAAAAACCAAATAGGATCTGGGCGCCTGGATGGCTCAGTTGGTTAAACAACTGCCTTTGGCTCAGGTCATGATCCTGGAGTCCCTGGATTGAGTCCCGCATCAGGCTCCCTGCTCGACAGGGAGTCTGCTTCTCCCTCTGACCCTCCCCCCCTCATGTGCTCGGTCGCTCTCTCTCTCTCTCTCATTCTCTCTGTCTCAAATAAGTAAATAAAATCTTTAAAAATAAAATAAAAATAAAAACCAAATAGGATCACGTTACTGTCCTGCTCAAAACCCTCCATGGCTTCCTATACTGAAGGCTCTAGCTTTGTTTTGGAAGTGAAGCTGAGGTCCTCACCGTGCCCTACACGACCCTGCATGGCCTGGCACCTGGCCACCTCTCCCGATTCACATGAACCCTTGCACTTTTCCATCTGGTCACTCTGACCTCCTTGCTGTGCCCCGAACCCACCAGGTTCCTGTCTGAGGGCTCTCACCTGTGTGCATTCCCCTAGGCCTCCCTGTGGCTTGCTTCCTCACTTCATCCAATCTCTGTTCCATTGTCAGTTGTGCTGAGAGACTTAAAACCCAGCACCCGCCATGACTTGTCACGTGCTGTCCCTCTACCCTGCCTTAGTTACTGAATAACATTTATTACTGCCTGAAATTATCCTTATGTTTATTTATTAATTGGCAGTCTCCTAGTGGAATATAAGCTTTAGGAAGACATGGGTTTTATCTGTTCTCTTCCTGCTGCATCCCTAGTGTGACAAACAGGGCCTGACATGTAACGGGTACCAAATAAATATTTGTGGAGTGAGTGAATGAGTCAATCTTCTGGATAACTTCTTCTAAAAAACTAGCAGCAGTTGATATTAACAACCAGTGTACTTGATTATAGTTTCCAGAAACAAGTTCAATCTCTTTGAAAATGAGCCCAAATAGTTTCTCATTTGAAATAGTGTGGTGTGTCCTACTTTTCATGATTTCTCAAAGATTTTGATGGTGGCTCTGAGATCTGCAAATTCTTTCAGCTGTCTGGGAGATTTTCCGTGTAGGCCTAGGGACCCAGACAAATCGCATGCACAGAGAATTCACATCTAGCATGAGGGTTACATTCTCAAGTCAGCAGAGAAAGCTAAAAGTGACATATCATTGGAAGTTTCCTTGAATATCCTCGGCATTGCAACAAATCACTGATTCTTTAGTTGTGCACCCAAGAAATTGGTTTGTCTGCGTTAGGAGCCCTGCAATATGGAGAATATGGATCTCTGAGCACCCAAATCACTCTTAGTCGACTAGATGCTTTTCCTATAGGAGGCATTTGGGAGCTGATGCTAGTGAGTGCTGGAACCAGACTGTCTCATTTTGAACCCCGGCTCCATCACTTACTTACTTGCTATATGACTATAGGCAAGTTACTCAACCTATATGCATTAGTTTCTTCATCTGTGAAATGGGATAATAACAGCACCTGCCTCATAGCGTTACACTGAGGACAGAGTTTACTCATGTATGTAAGGTCCTTGGACCAGCACCTGGCACGTAGTAAGTAGTTCAGTTAATATCAACAATTATTTTATTATCTTCCATCTCATGTTCCAACTGGGACATGGGCTCAGTGACTGCAAAGGCAGGTAGAATGTGCTAGACTCTTTGAATTGTAATTGCTTGCTCATTTGCTCTTGGTCTCTTTGTTTCTCTCT